AAAATTTGGTGATCCTGTGCAGGAGCGGCAGCGGGAGTTCGAGAATCGTCGAAATGCTTTTGACGATTTCGATAGAGCTCTTATTGTAAGTTCTCTTTTTACCTCAATATCTGTAAACGAAGCGCTACACCTCTCCGTGTTCTTTTTACAAGTGCGGATAAATCGTACATCTTTCAGTGTCGGCTTCTTTGAAATCATGTTTCGTTTCAGATTCCCTTCATTAACATTCGGGTCAAAGATGCTACTTTGATTTTTTTTTGCATAGCAAACTAACGAGGCTCTTTAAAACTTATATGCTGGGAAAATTACTCGAAAGAATATGGTGGAGGGAATGGAAGAGAAGAGCAAAACAACAGGGTGAAGGGGAGATGGTGAGGAGAAATAGCGGGGTCAGGACGGGAAGAGGGAGGGGGGATAATTTTAAACTTATTTTCACTTGTCACAATTTTAATAATCACATATGCGCTCAGCTTGAAAGGTCGAAATTTTGTTACCCATAATGCGTTCTGCAGTTTCTTCTATGCGTTTTTTACAGCTATGCAATGCAGAAAACTCATATTTATGAGGGTTTGTCTGTATGTCCGTTTGTGCGCCTGTAACGATTTTTCATCTCAAGACCACAATAGCTACAGGGTTGAAACTTTGGGAACTTAATCTACATGCACGTACGGGCTCCAGTCCCAAAAATGGGCGCCATTACTTGCATGGTACCCGCATGCGGGCCTGCCAAAGTTTTTTACGGGTAAGTTCATAACTCGGGGATCGGATAAGCTAGAAAGCTGAAATCTTAGGGTGATGTTCCCCGTTCAACTGGGTATTAGTGAGCTCAAACCCAGACCCGGGTAAACGTGGTACCCGCGTACGAGCCCGCCAAGATTTTTTTCGGTAGATCCATAATTCGGGGATCTGAGAAGCTAGAGGACCGTAATTTTAAGAGGAAATACCCCGTCCACCTAAATTTCATCCAGCTCAAACCCAGCTCTCGGGTATGTGTGGTAAACACTTACAGGCTCGTGAAAGTGTTTTTCCAGTAAGTTGCTAACTCAGGAGCCAGAGAAGTTAGAAGGCTGAAATTTTAAGGGAATGTTTTCTTGCAGTTCTGGCGGCCAGTTTTAACTTATTTAGCTAGAAGCATTTGCCGAAAAAACCGGTGCCGATAGCAACAAAAACTGCGGGGAACTATGCAAAAGACGCATCTTCGTACGGGCAGCCCGTGCGTTGACCAATTATTTCTTTTTTGTTCAAATTTCTACTGCATAGTTTTCATCCCGTGATGCTGCATTCGCGCGGCTGATTTTGCATACAACATTTTT